GTCTTTTTTCCCTTAGGAATTTACATTTTTTTACTTTTTTAGACAAAGAATTATTAAACGTTAAAAAACGTGAAACTTTGATTAATATACAAATACGTACAAATCAAGTTATATTACAAGTGGATGGAATTTTTTGCCTTGCAGTGTATTGGGGGATATCACCAATCCTTCCAGTCCAAAACCCTTCATTGTATTACAAATGCTCCTTTTTATGTGTCCAATTGTACCCTTCACCATGATGCCAACATCCCTTATCTTTTCCACGCCATCATATCAAGATACATTTATTTGTTTTCCACTGAGGGTCGCAATGTCATCAGGAGGTTCTTTAACGTACGCACCTGGCACAGGGCCTTATCATACGTTTAGATTCTTAAGATAGGAGCGACTCACCTCTGCTCCCGGGGGGTGGGAATCCCGTGAGGTTCGGTATAGTAGCGACAAAATGCACAGACTAATCATACAACTATGTCGACTCTCCCTCTTGCCTGGTCCGAAGCTCTGGCTAACATTTTGCACTCAACCGTGTGACGAGCGGTAAAAAGATACGCGAAAGGGCTGAAATGCATCAGCCGGTCTCACACCGCACTCCCTAGATAGAGAAGATAACACTATCTCCCTGAGTGTAGGGGCCCCGCTAGCGTCGAAACTACCGGATCCATTCCAGCTGTTTCGTTTAAAGTGGAATTTCTAACCACCCTTTAAAGGAACCTGCATTCGGTAAAAGAAGCCCATGAGTGCACCACCGAATAACAGGCAAGAGCTTGTTATCTAAGTACCCGCCAGGGGCCTCACCTACGGCCAACGACGAATCCATTCCCACATAGCACGCTGCTGGACTTGGAACTTGAAGACACTGTGCTATCCAGTCGTTCAGCTGATTATGCACCCTCCCCCGTCTGTGCCGACAGGATCTGGTACCCTAACCCACTTGTACCGCCGATCAAGCATCCGCTGTCCGCGACCGGTTCACAAGTCGACAACTCCCTTAACGCATTTCGAGGGACTGGGTAGACGTAGTCTTTGCATCCTCGCATGTTATACGCTTCCTTAGACCTATCTTCCATATGTACGAACGAATAGCGCTTGTGCTTTAGAGAGATTGTCACCCTCTCAAGGATACACTTAATTATTTTGTACCTGGGAACCTCCCTTGCAACCAAGGGTTGGGAAGGGACTGTAGGAGTCTCACAGTCCCGAGAATTGGATTGAGAGAAAAGGACATACCGAGGCCCAAGCTCACCTTTGCAGGATACACCAAAGCTTTTCTAACACGATCGACCGCTCATTATCCTAACCCAAAACAAGATAGAACAAATTCCACTCCTCACTCATAGGTCATCCCAATCCTTCGTAACCCAACTTTCCTCTACCACTCTTCCCGATACTCCACGCCGACGACTGAAACCTTAACTCGAGTGATAGTGAGTGACAAGTGTTGTGACCTTCGGTTTATCTACGACGAAGTGTCGCTACTGAGTGACTTCTCCGCTCGTGACAATACAAATAAATTTTTGTTTTCAACATTATATTCGCTTGTTGCAGTTAATTCTACAGTTGTAAATTTCCAATGAAATGAAAAAATTAAATATACATTCTTGTATTAGCGCTTATCTAAGCTAGTTAATGAATATTCTACTGGCTCGATAAATGGCTCGATTTCAAATATTTCTATGGAAAAAATATGATTGGTTCTAACTAAATTCTCGATAATTTAGCTCGAAGTTACAAAATTTACAGGTCCTGAAGCATCTCGTGAAATTATTAAAACTAAAGAGGAAGGTGTCTTTGACAAGTGTGCCGTGGGGAATTGGTTTGGAAAATTTAACGGCAGATATATCCTCGGAAAGAAAACAATGGTTCACGGCGAATTTCCATGGATAATTGATTAAATTCAACAATGAGCTGTAGAATCAAATGCCGTGAGTACTCGCCTAGTGGAGTATTCAAGGACACCGAGGTGGAAGAATAGCTGTAGACTGGTAGCTAACCACGCCGTAAATGCTTATGTACATCGGACTGTCACTAATGACAAGGGGAAGCTAAGGACGTGGAAACACTTATTTCAAGGAACCTTTTTGTGGTAATATAAATCGAAAAATGTTAGAGACTTATCCGAACCTTCTTGCCAATGGATTCGCTTGGTCTCAGGCCACAAAATAATTATCTGTTATACATCAATGCAATAAAACCTCGCAGGCAGATGAATTCTTTTCGTGTTTTTGCCAAGTAGCTTAAACAAATTTTTAGCAAGAAACAAAGTTTATATTCGTTTTCTACACACCGAAAAACCCTTGAATATAAGTTTTTGAGAAAATAACAAAAATATATAATACGCCCTCAAAGTGCCTCTTCTTTTTTTCTTTACAAAATCACAAAAATGGTGCCAAATTTTTAACAAGCTTTAGAATCCTATAAATTAAGGTCATAAATTTGGCTTCCGTAAATAAATTAAACTTGTAGGTATAAAATAAAACATTTAAGGAGTTTTTGATGATTTCTGCCTTATTTTTCATTTATAATGGCATGAAATCAAAACCTTGTATTCACAAATTAAAAGAGGAGAAATTAAGATTTCTAACGGTTGTTATAAAATCCAGAGGTGTTTTAAATTTTTAAGTTGAACATCAGACATCGGCGAGAACAAAAATGTCTCCAGCGAATTTTTTATTGCTACCAAAATTCGTTTTTAAGGGCTTTAAAGGAACTTTAAAATGAACCAGAATTATTTTTAAAAATATTTTTTGTGGTATTTTACCGGAAGTCTCTTTTGCTGTTTGTAATATTTTATCGACTGATATACACTGTTCCACAAAACAAATGGCGCACTATTAAATTTTATTTCTTTTTTAATATGACAACGTTTTGGCCATATTTGTAGTTTTACTATTTTAAAAATGATTAGTTATAATTAGACGGAAAGTATTTGTTTTTATCGCCGATGGTGAAACAAAACCGCTTAATTCATAATTTGATTTAAAATTTTCACATTACAAAACATCAACAATGGCATTTATCCTTTAATCTATTAATCCTTTAAAAATATCTTTATTCAATATTGTGCTGATGGCACAAAACAAAACGATTACAAAAATGTCCTTAATCAGCGAGCAAGTTGTCCATGCCATTGCCCTTGTTGAGGATGGAAAATATTAGCTGCAAGAGTTTTAGATATGCCTAAAACGACGGTTATCGGACATAAAGTGGTACCTGCGGATTGCAAGGTGTACCCGGAGACCAGGATCGGGACGCCCACGAGCCAAGGGACCAGCTGACGACTGATTTATCAGATTTCACATGCTGAGCATAGCTTTTCCATTGCTTCTGATACGTCCCAAAAACTTCCAGCTGCGGGATGTGTCCGTTAGCACGGGCAGTAACAGTAAGGAGACTTTCAGGTGTAAGTCTACAGCCCATAAAGTCTACAGTTCAGTGGAGAGATCCCAGGCGGGAGACCATCGTCGGGACCTCTTGTTTGCAAGGAACCCCGTCGCTGAGCAGAAAAGAAATAAAGGAATGTTATGTTTTCAGAGTCCCAATTTTCTCTCCGTTCACTAGATGGACGTCTTCGAGTTCATCGAGCAGCTGTAGCGCTGTACAGCCAATGCAACATTGCCGGAAGAGGGTGGTTTATAAGTGGTTCAATTATGGTGTAGGTAATGGAATTTCTTGGAAGGCAAAAACGTAGTTACTCATTTTTAATAGGCGTCAAATATAGAAATCTACGTGAAAGAAAGTCTTGAGGAATATGTAGTGCCATTTTCTACGTTTATAGCCGAGCAATTTTTGTTTATTCAAGACAATGCAAGACCAACTGTCGCCACCAGTGTTATGCAGTACCTTTGAGATATCAACATCTACATTCTCAGACAACATTCAATCCTATTGAGCACTTTTGGGACGAGCTCGGACGTTGGGTAAAACGATGAAATGACCCTCACACAGCCTTAACTGTGCTGAAAGTTACGTTGGTTGAGATTTGGGATGAAATTACTCAAGAAGTGCTTAAAGGCTCAATTGTGAACATGCTGAGAAGTTTAGAGTATGTAACCAGAGCAAGAGGAGGTAATTCACCCTACTAAAAGATTCGACTGATTTACAACATAATAAGTTTGTTTTATAATGCTTTATGTTCGTACACAAAAATGATTTTTTCTTGTTGTAATTTGTTTTTTGTTTTTGAGAAATATTTTTATTTTCCCACTGTGTTAATATTACTGAAAAGGCAAGTGCATAAAAATATCAAAATTTCAAAGTTCGCTATTTTTTTGTGATCAGTGTATAATAAGCAAACATGCTTATACACTGCTATAAACCCATACAGAAAAAAAATTTAAATACTTAAAAAAATTCTAGAGTTAAATTAAAGGCTTTATAAACAAGTCAATAATTGAGAATTTTCTCAAGTCAATAATTCCAAAGAATTACCAAATATAATTATTTCTGATTAATTAGTTCTAATTATCGATTGGACCTTTTCTTACCTGCTTTGCAACTTTAACAGCATAAATTGTTCAATGAAAAATTGCAGTCGCTAGTCTCGATTTACCATTAGATTAGATACTGTTTTTCGATAGCACACTAAAGTGATTTATGATAAGGTTGACAATTATCAAATAGCCATAATCACACTTGATTTATTTAATTTTTCTTGCCATTTTGGTAAAAATTGTGAACTCATAATTGGCCCTATGAAGTTGATAAGTGGAGAAAAGATTGAGGCTGTATTTAATTTTTTAGTTTTACATCGGTTTTGCACTAAACTGAGGGCGGGTTGTAGAGCTTTGTACTGGTGGAGCTTTGAGGACGAAAGTTCGATTGGTGTCGGCGCTCCTTTGCTGCCTCCTATAGTTCAAAAATCCGGTTCGGCCAAAACCAAAACTGGCCGTAATATTAAAACGGTTAAATTTCGAGGGCCGTCTATTGAAAAAGGGAATATCTCTTAAAGGAGGAGCGAGGGAAATGCAAAATATATGTGGGGGCAAGGCAGACGGGCTCAGACCAGCGCTAGTGTTCTCGGTGGTGGGAGCAGTGGCGTTTTCTGAGAGGGCTAGTCGGTCTTCGGAGGTCGTGAGAGGAGGAAGTGGTCAACCAGCAAAGAAGGGACTGTTAGAAGAGACACTCAAGAGTGAGAGTTGACACTAAACAAGAGACCTCCAAAGGCCGAGAAGAAGAGGCAGTCTACAAAGTTCTCCAAAGACGTCGTTACGCACATAGAAAAGAGATAATCGAGTGGTACAAAAAAGAGAAAAAAGTCCAACCATGGCCGATAAGTCGAAAGAGGAGTTTTACACTCGACCTCCAAAAGTCGGTGGTTGGACTTCTTTCAAGACCTTCCTGTGGAATTCCGAAACGAATCAGTTGATGGGAAGGACTTTCCTGTCGTGGGGTGAGTACCGTCTTTTTTTAAAGATTTTTCCACTTTAGAAAAAACATCTCAATTGGGTGGACCGCAACAAACTAGCCCAACAACCACTATTCAACAAAAGTTAATTTTTTTATTTTCAAAATCAACAACATTGATTATAATTTTTGAATTATTTTAATCTATACTCTTGATTTTTTTTTAGTTCCTTAATTAAGTTTATAATTTTAATTTTTAACCCTTTACTCACGATATTCCAGTTTAAAAATGACTAATGCTCCTAATTAAAACAGGAAAAGCACAATTAAAAAAACGAAACTTACTGGAGATACTAAACCATCAACGCATGAGCGTTCTACATTTTTTGCATACACCACGCCTTAAGTCTCAGAAAATTTCTCTCCCCCCTAGCGAAAGCGGTAGTTTTAGCTTAGCTCGTAGGCTTTACAAGTTAGAAATAATTTTAATTTTCCTTTTTTGTGTCCAGTTTTACGGCATATCGATTTAAATGTCAAATAAGGTGAGAGCAGCGCCGGTTTCGCCGGATTCAACCGGCGCTCGCCGCATCGGAGAAAGGAAGAAGGCCCAAATTTTATTTCCCTGTTTTACCGCAAGAATAACCGAAATTAACATCGATCGAACTCATTACAATTGTGTCAAGGCCGCGTGGACGGAGTGCAGAAGGGTAGCCCCGCGGAGGGTGGGCAGGAGACACCCCGTAGAAGCCGCCGCGGACCCGCTTTTCCACCGGATTTTCCACCGGGGAAAAAAAGGCGGAAAATCTCAAAACTCTCGGGGGTTTTTCGGCTCGACGGGGTAGAAAATATGGGAAAATTCCGCGCCTGCGCTCCTCCATTTTAACGGGTTGAGCCTGATTTTGGATCAATAGCAGAGTGAAGTCTGTGACGTCAGAAAGGAGGGTCTGCAGAACGTCCCCCCCCGAGTGGTGGGAGGCTCTCTTCCTCGCATGATCGATATAAAACTGATCAACACGACTTTTATCCTCGATTTTCGATAATGGAACTGAGGATGCCTTTGGAAAATCAATTAAAATCCGTACTTTATAATTTGCACCAAAAAAATTATACCAAATTTCACCCGATACGCTTATTTATTGAGCCTTGAAAGTCCATCACGAAATTGACTTTATCTGACTCCACGTTATTCACCCTCTTGCCATATAACCGCCGGCCTGAAAAATTGATCAAACTTCCAAACTGATATGATCAAAAAAATTACTTTCTTATTCTTCATAGAAAACCTTTTTCAATAGAAAACTCAAGAGTCTTGAAATTTGTCTTGAAAATTTATTAGAATAGTCTAACTCGTTTGCAAAATTCGAACTTGAACAGTCAAGTTTTGAAGGCTTCAAATAGCATTTTTTAAAACGTCCTCTTTCATTATACGAAGGATTTACAATCGTCTTGTTCAATTATCAACTAAATAATTTTTTGTCAGGCAAACATGTTAACAAGAACCAAAAGTTTTTATTTTATTTTATATCTATCACTATTATTTATAAATCCCATATCGCACGTATTTTATTAATATGTTCAAACAGGATCATGAATCTTAATCGTCCGGCGATAAAAAAAGACAATAAAGAGTGTTTTTTCTATTCTGTTTTGATTTATCGATCTAGCTGCCGTGACCGCCATCCTAGTGCCACAAGATTTTGTAAAATAGTAAACCCATCCCCTCTACTGTTTTATGGAGCACTCCTTTTCACCTTGATGATGATAATGCATCAAATTGCTTCTGGAGAAAACTCAAACATGCCATTGACAAATTAGAAAAATAGTGACTTTAGTAAAAAGATAAAATTTTATCTTTAGTAAATATTAACTTTAGTAAAAAGATAAAAAATAGTTACTTTTGGTAACTTATGAATTGCCTATTTAAGTTTTTGAAAATCCGTAGGACATTTTAATTTTTTTTAATTTCAGATACTTTTTAAAAGCTTATATCAATATATTTAAGGAAAGTGATTGCATGAAATATCGATACGAATGTAAGAATTTCTTCGTCTGTTTTTGTGACAATTTTGTTGTCATCTTCTCAATAACTTTTTCATCTATCGATCCAATCGTAAATTTTGTCTTAGGTCGTTTTGTTTTAAACGTTCCCGGTTACATGTCTAATATCTTTTGACGTATTTGTGTAGTTTTCTCTTTGTCAAACTGGTCACGTATCTGTTCACTAACTTAAGGCTATTGTTTTTATGTTTTTTCTGCCCGATAGCTTCATTTTCTGGGTCAAGCGGTGGACTATGTTTGATGCGAGTCCTTCAGGAATCACAATGGAAAGAATCCTGAAAAAATACAAACAATGATGTTTTTTAAAGTTAATTATTAAACAGAGAGTATTTCGTTTGTACTTTTCAATACCGCTTATTTCTCTGTGATCCATCACATTCGAAAATTATATTTATAGTTTGGTATTTTCTTACCGATTTAATATTGTAATTTTCTCTTAGGTTTAATTTTTTTATTATAACTTATTTTCCTGTTTCGTTTTGTATCTTACTTGTATTATTGTACGTACGGTTAAAAAATATATAAAAATAGCAAAATCTAATAAAATTGATCTTTGGAATCTGACGTTAACATTGTAAGAGGACAGAGGTGGCCGTGTGGTTAGGGTGTCCGACTCGTATTTCCCACGTTAGCCGTCCTGGGTTCGAATTCAACATAGCCGATGGAATTTTATTTTGTAAAAATATACAAAATGTATTGTAAAGCGGTTCGACCCCTCGTCCGCGACACCCGTGGACATTAAGCCCTCCTGCAAAAGCACAGGACTTTAAGAAAAAATTACTTTTACTTACATGCGCTCCTGAATTATTATAAAGATAATTTATATAGGAACTGATAGCATGACAAGCTCCTTCGAAAAATATTTAAAAAAAAAAAAAAACGCTGGTTGTATTTATTCTACACTAACAAAAAGAAAACTACAAGATCTTTTCATAAAAACAAGATTTTTAATGAAATGATAAAAAACAAAGTTACTTTACTGGCTTCTTAAATTTTTATTTACAAAAAATTAAAATCAATCCGAACACTGAATTAATTTGGTCAATGAGAGCCATTAATGTTTTATGAAGTTGTCCATTTTGGTCAACCCGTTGGCCAATCAAAGCTAAATTAAATTTGATTAGCAAAGCTAATTTAATTAGGATTTGTTTTAAACAATGTATAAATGAGGATAAAATCAAATTTTTAAACCGTATCCCGGGTAGGATTTTAATACTATCATATTACGATATTATTTTTTAATTAAAGCTCATTGCAGGCCAAGGTATTTTTTTCTGTGTGCGTGAAAATTCTCAATTGATTTTTATTTCGTTGATTTTTCTTATCGTTTTAATTAAAGGCCGTATGGAATAAGTGATCAGTTTAAAAAAGTCCTTTGTTGACGGGGTAAATACAATATTTAAGAATTAATCATAGAAAAGTAGGTTAAGAAATTGGATAATCACTCAACTTTAAATATTTCATTTAGGCTCGTTCAAGGACCTTAATTGATTGAGGTAGCCACTCGATTGAATATATATGAAGATCTGTTCGATTTGTTGACAAATTGATTATATCGGTAGATTTTATTTGCTGAGGTGTATGAATGAATACTTTAAATAGTATATTAAAAATTGATTAAAGGTTAATTAAGTGAGTTAAGAATTTTTTTTACACCTCAATATTTTTGAACGATTTATTTATAAGCAAATATGAGGACAATCTAGTAGAAAAATTTTTATTTTTGTAAAACGTCCATTTGAAAAAGATTTATAAATAATTGAAATAATAGACCTCTCAGGGAAATGTTTTTCTCTGGAATTCTAGGAAAGACTAGTTCAGCAAGAAGTTACAACAGATATTTTTTATATAGATAATGCCAAACAAGCAACCTATTTTTCTAAATCCTTGACATTATTATTTCTGCACGAATGTACCATGATTATATAAAATCTTAAAAAATAAGTGTTCATTTTATTGTTTATAAATTATTTTGTTTAACGGACGTCTTAGTAAAATGTTAAACTCTTAAGTAATTTTTAATATCGCCAATAATTCTTTCAACTTAGAAATGTCCTGGAAGTAGAAAGATGGAAAACGTTCAACATTTAATTTTTTTTCCATATATGTACTATATTATGATCCAGTTTTCTCCTTGAAAAGGCAGACAAAATTGATAGAAATGTTGATTGTTAGAACTAAATAAATGTGAAATAAATAAATTTATTAACAATATATACTTAACAATATAGAAGTATTTTTTATTTTAATAATTTAACTTTATTCCCTTAATCCTATGTTTTAGTGTGCCACACCTCCTTTTCCACCGTCTCGTAACAAAGGGACGAGGAGGTCGTGGCAACCAATAATTTCTGTCGTAACGGTCTTAACGTCCAACTAAAAGTTGGGTGTCGAGAAAAAAAAGTCATAACCACTTTACTATTCTTTTACGTATTATTAAAATTCAAATTATGGGCTGTGGCGGGATTCGAACCCAGAAGCGTTAGCGCGGCGAATACCAGTCGGACGCCCAAACCACTCCTTTCCTTCCATAGATATTGTATAGTATCTTTATATATTTAAAAAAGTAATATTGTTAGTAAAAAACTTCAAATGTTTTTATGTTATGGGAATCTTTTAAAAACATCAGATTTTCTTTTCCCATTTAACTGAAACTGCAACTCGGGCATGCATTTATCACTCTTAATGATTATCTGCCGGTAATAAATATTTATTTAGTAGCCTGCTGGCATTGAGGCCCGAGGGAATGCGAGCTCCACGGGGATTAACTGTGGTAATAAAATAGCAAAATATGCAAGAAAAATGGCAAACCGTCGATTAGCTGTTTATTTGAGGAGTCATCGTTTTGATTTTCGAATCTTCTTATGTCCTTTTTTTCGAAATTTTGAGGATTTAATGCAAATTAATACTAGACTTGTTATTTAAACATTTTAAAATGAAAATTTAAACTAATCTCAACAATCGGCAAAAGACAATTCGGTCGAATAT